ATTCTAGTGATGTAGCTAAGCCAGACAAGTCTGCGGCACAGCATCTATTTTTAGACACCAGGTTGCCATTTATAGCTTGTGAAAATATTCATCAGCATCTGGATAACCAACTATCAATTTTTATAAACGCACGGGAGAAATCAGATATTTCACTTCTCTTTGTTTTGCCCTTTTATGTCCTGCCTTCTGTGGCTCTTTGGGAGTCATTTGGAATTTGTTTTTCAGGGCTTTAACATGACACCATACATTTGCGGGCTGTCGCATACAGCATCCTGCATTTTCTGCTGGGATAATCAGTGTACAGAGGAGAAAACCTTTTGCTAGCTACTGTATCTCCACATGTAAAGAAACTGCATGTGAGATTCTGGTGCACTTTGTGCAGTCAGTGATGGAAGCAGCACATTCTGAAAACACCTTTATAATAAAAGGAGGTAATTAAAAAAAGCAAATACGAAGAGGAAATTCAAAGATTTGAGAACATTTCCTTCAACATTATTTTCCACATATGGCATAATATAACTAAAAAATCATAGCTCAGTTTATTCTTCTGAAAATGTTGTTATTGGCTACTGCCAATATATAAGGTACTGAACTAAATTAAAGAGTTTCTACTGTAAGAGAAAGAAGGATATTGAAACAGCCAGGTCCTTGCTTTGGTTCACTGTTGTGGTTAAAGTCTTACAACCAAATGGTACCCTCGTTTATATCAGTGAAGTTTTTAACTAGTCTGATCAATAAACTGTCTAGCAGCCAATTGCATGGTTTTCTCTCTTGATCCAGTCCATCATGCACTTCCAGTGCTACTGGTTTGTGATGGCTGGCACTGGTCAAAACAGTGATTTAACTTATGTCTGTAACTCCTACTTCCTTTACTGCATTCCTGAGATGAAAGGAAAAAGAACTGTAAATATACTTAGAAGTGATACTGCAATAGCTCCCACCGAGGGATACGAGACACAAGGAAATTCAGTTAGGCAAGAGTACCCTTCAAAGATACTATTAATCTGGCAGAAAGATGCAGATAGAAACAATCTGCCAGTGTGTGTTCCCCCTCCCTAAAGCTTTCAGCTGTCACGGTCTGCAGAGGCATTAATCTTTAATCAATTGAATGCCTTCTGCAGTGAGGCATCCAGGGAAAGGACAGGTCATAACAAGCACTTGCCTAGAATAACTAAGCAGTCGTGCATGAGCTGTGCCATCAGACCTTGCTGGATAGCAGCAGGGAATAGACAGAGACCTAAAAATAGCCTTTCCTTGCAGTGTTTTTCCAGACTATTTTTGATTCTTCATTTTGATAAGGTCGACTGGCTATTTGCTAAAAATAACCAATCCCGGCTAACTGAGGACAAAAAGTAGAGTATTTATAACCTCCTCAGACTCTTTAGTACATTTGCTGGCTGCAAATAATCTAGGATCTTGTCATCAGTCAGTTGCCAGTGTTTTATGTAAGTCAGTAATAAATAAAGCATTAATTAGAATGGAAAATGAGTCTGTCTTGCCACTCTGACTTTCTAAGATGGAACACATATCATTCTGTATATAATCCTTGTAGGTTACCTTGCCCTATTCTTCATGATGTGGTCTGAATTGCTTCAGAAATAATCAAAACAACCTCTTGTTAGGTCAGCCAATTTTACAAAAATAGCTGCATATGTAATTAAAAGTCCAAAACCAGTTTTGTATGCCTGATACTTCCGATGAAGCAATTTTCAGGGGTGTGATTCACATAGCTTCCTCCATGAGAGGTTTTTTATCATAGAGCCTCTGTGTGCCACTCTCTCTGACGAAATGAAACCACCACTCCGCCAACAGGATGAGAGCAACAGAGGGATTCTGTAACCAAGTAACTGGAGGAGGACTGCAGAGAAGTTGATATAAATGATAATTTGACCCCAAGGCAGGTTTCAAGAAACTGGGCTGTTATGGGGATGGGGGAAACACAGCAGTCAGCCCAACTGTGTGACCTGTTGGATATTCCAAGAGAGAAAGACAACAATTAAAGGATTAACATTTATTTTTTTAAAAAAATAATATCTATCACACAGTACATTTGAGCAACCGTCCTTCGTCAATTAAGGTGGAAAACGCTTAAGTTATCAGTGAATATTTTTCCTTACAGATATTTTACTTAAGGCCTATTAAATTCCTGTAAGGGAAAACTCATTTTCACAGATTCCTCCTGTAAGTATGCATGATTTTTCATAAATACTTCTTGAATGGGCTCCACATATGTTGTCTGCTTAACTGCAATGTAACAGAGGTTAATAATTTGGAGATTTACAGATTTTTCCTTCCTATAACCATGAAATGTCAAGAGTATGCCTGAAATGTATGTTACGGAAGTTTCTATGACTGGGAGTAGTTCTGGACAGGAAATTCCCACCTCTACCCTAAAAGTATTGAATTCTTCTCTGGAGAAGAGAGACAGAATGGGCAAGGGGGCAGAGGAGGGGAACAGAGAGGGAAGATGAAAGAGAGAGTGACTGGAACATGGCAAGGACCATGAAACCATCTAGGATCCCTTCTGTGCTCAAATGAATGATAACTGGAACATAAAAATTGTGTGCGAAATGGATTTTATCATCTTGTATGATTACAGTGAGTACAAGCAATGAAACCACAGTGTTATACTCATTTTGATGGCATTTCTTGTTTTAGATGAAATGCAGAAGTTTTAAAAACATAGATCTGACTAGCTTCATTTGAGATGCTGCTCTGTTTGCCTCTTGCTTGAAAAACAGGTAAAAAAAATATGAGGGCAGGGACAGCATGGGAGAATCCTTAATCTTTTCTCTGTGTTTTTTGTCAGTAGAGATTTCCCACATAGAAAAGGAAAAGGTCATTAATGAGAACTATGAGATACATCAAGCAGAGAAAACATCTAACAAGAAGGTAGCAGAAAAAACAAACAATATGTACAGGCAGAACCTGTGTATTTCCTCTCGGGGGTAATCTTAGAGCAAATAGGAATTGATTTAGCTTCTATATACATATGCACAGGACTTTCTACATGTTTACCACTTCTTACACCTTAACTGTAAACCAGTTAAGGCCATTTACAAAATTTGTGGGGTTTGCACAGTCAAAAAAACCCATTGATTTTTTCCAACAGCAGGCTCACAACCACATTTCTCTCTTGCCTTATTTCCAGTTAAATTTTTATTTTCTGTGACCAAGCTAACATTCCTCAGTGGACAGCTCCTCAGGCAAGTGTTAAATGTGAAAAACCCACAGAAAATACTCCATGCAACTAAGTGTGTGTGTGTGTTCTGTTGAGTTACAACAAGCTGAGATGTGACTGTCAGCCATACTGTACTAGCTGTGAGGATTCTGAAAGCACATCACACCCTCTTTACTGCAGAGGTGTGCTTTACTAGCTGAATCCACACAGAGACAGTACAATAAACCTGCTTTCTGAGCTGTAAATATATATGGGTGAAAAATACTATATAAATTGTTAATAATGTATATTCATATACTCCAACAGAAAGAATTACTAGAACAACGAAAGAAAGTTAGGAGTAATTAATGGGTTGAATTTCTTATAGGGATCCCCTAAGATATCACTTTAACTAATGTCTTACCTGGTTCTTGATTTCAAAGAGCGTGACCACTACAATTTTGTTGCTCAGGTCCTCCTTGGGGTACATAAATAAGAGGGAGAAAATCAGGAAGTCCATTTTTAATTTGGCTGTACATCTCACTTCCCATTCCATTAATGACACCTGTCTTCTTCTATAGCTTTCTTTATGGACTTTAAAATATTGTCCATGGACAAATGCCAAACTAGTTAGCAAATCCTATTTTTATAACTGCCCCTCATACTATCTTACCAGTGACCTCACCAACCTTGCTTCATCACCGAAGGAGGAACTGGTTACTGCTCACAGCAGTCACAAGCAGCACCATCTTCTCTTCAGCCACTGCTCAGACTTTCCTTCTCACTCTCCAAGCAGCTCTCCACCATCACCACATAGCAAACTATGGTAGCATTAGTTATTTGCCCCTGCTTTGGTAAACTGTTTTATTATGCAGATGCTCTTTTGTCACTCATGGCCATCTGCCAAAATCTATGAGTAGGGGAAATGTGCACTTATTCAGCTTTCATGAACAATTTCCTTCAACTCTTGCTTAATACATATGCAGAAAAACCAGCTCCAATTCCTTTAGGATACCTAAATTTTAGTACCAGAAGTTAAATAGTTTTTCATCTGTGAAAGAAGTCTTTCAGTTCAAATACTCTACCACCAGCATACAGAAAATAGTTTCTTAAAATGGGAAAGAGGAGACAGAAGAAAACCATTTAGTAAAAAAAAAAAAAAAAATCCCTGCAAATTAAGAAACACAGAAAAAAAATGCATTCTTTATAATGATAATGGTGGAAGGTGCATCCTTGGATGCCTGTGGTAGGTGACAGAAGCAGCTGTGCCTGCAGGCACACATACCATGGTGGCAGAAGCATTCTCTGCACTCTTTTGCCAATATACGTTGTTGTTAACCACAAGGGATGGACTTCCAGGAATAGAAAATTCAAAAAGAACATCTACTTTCTATTGCCTCTCCATTTGTAGCTCTTTTCTGGACATTCAGCCAAGAGGGCAATGGATGCAGTTTATTTATATGAATATAAAAAAGAAGAATAGAAACAAACCAGGCATTTCACCAGCCAAAGGCAGTGGATATTGTCTGATGTGAGGTCAGACTGGAAACCAACTCAAAACAAAATTATTTCTAGAACTCAGTCTAGATGACTATGGTCCTAAGAGCCTCGGTCATGAAGATAAATTTATGCACATATTTATTTACCCTTAACTAGGGCTAAGTTAGGGCTGACACTAGATTCTATCACTCAAAAACACCTTTTTGAGACAGTTGGCCCCCAAATAGTTATATCTGATCATCCTTTAAGAAAAGGGAAACTTCACATAACTTAATAATCTAGAGTCCCTTTTTTGGAAAGTGTGAATAAGAATAAAAAATTACACCACAGGACATTATAAGAGAGTTAAGAGCATATTCATTAGAAATTAAATATAAAATACAATGATGCCGCAGAACAGAGAGCAGCACGCAAACAAGACAGCCCCCCTCCCCTACCCTCACCCCAATCCAAGGAAACACACCTATATAGTACAAATCAGAGATCTCAAACAGGGGGAGAGGAGGGGGCCTACAAAGTAATTTTCTTGCTATACAGAAAATATATTATTTGCTGGAAGTCACTACTGAGTTGTTAGGGGCCCAGGGTCAGTCACTGCTCAGGAATGCCCCTGAAGGCACACTGACCCCTATTGCTTCCCCACCAGTTTGCTGAACACATCATAGATCTCTGGCTTTTCCTGGGCAAATTGCTCGGCTGTGTTTTTCTGTAGCCAGTCAGATGAACGCATCTGTTGCTGCAGGAGGCCAATGAGGTCACCAAGGCTGGAGCTACTGGCACAGGTATTGTCCTGGTGGCGGGATACAAAAATTACTTCATCTGTGCTATCTGCTTTGCCATCCTGGTCTGACTGACAAGGCTGCTCCTTCTCCTCAGCCAGTATCTCCTGCTCACGCTCTTCCAAAACCTTGCGTATCCGTTGCATACCTGCAGTGGTATAAGGAGAAACACTACTGGATTAGTCTAAGCCACAAGTGTTTCCAAATCCATCCAATCCAGAAAAGGATAATGGAGAAAGTGATAATAAAACAGACAGGATGAGAGGATAATAAAGTCTAAGTTTAGGATTAAGAAGAGAACGGAATAGTGCTGCAGAATTGTGGCAGGAGGAAAAAGAACATTACTCACCTAACTGCAGCCGATGGGCCTTGTCAGCAAAGATGATGCGGAACCATCCAGGTTCACTGCACTCAAAGGCTTTTCCACAGGACAGGAGGACTTTATTATCCAGAAAACGCTTCCAGAGCAGCAACTCCTCCTCAAATGTGCCTGTCTTAAGGTACTAGGAAAGTCATCAGAAGGGCCAGAGGTTAGTACCATATAGACTACATCACTGAGATCCTCATGAATTTGTGATTCCCATAAAGTTTGCAAAGGCCAAGGGAGACACCTTTTACCTCTGAAGTACAGGAGTTGTGATACAAAGGAAGAAATGGGGAGGGAAGTGGCTTGAGAGTAGTAAAATTCCTGCAAGGAGGGAAGTTCACAGATTGATGAAAGGAAAAGAACAGACTGAAATATCTGGCAGTCCTTCCCTCTCCTCATCAGACGACAGATTTGTTGAAACAAAATGCTTGTCACAATATTAACCTTTCCTCTAGATGCAGTTGCACTACATGCCTGCCCTCACCCCAGGAAAAGCCTCGCTTCCTAAAACTACCAACCTTTCGGAAATCAATCCAGACAAAGAAGCCTGCATTGCGGTTGAGAAAAGGAACCCCAAGTGTCTTCAGCTCATCTGTCACATACGTATGGGCAGCTTTTAGGCGGGCATGATTGGCTCTCAGGTACACCTGGTTGATCCAATCTGACCAGAAGAAGAAGATAAAGAAAAGAATCACAAACTGAGGAAGTGCTCAGATCTATTCAAGCTTCCAAGACACTCTGTCTGCTTCACACTTCACCTCCTTCTTTCGTTTTCTGTTTCCTCGAATAACATGAAACTGCACAGTTTCATGTCTGCGCAAAGAGTATCTCCTTGACCTTCCTGAGGAAGTTTCCTTACATTTATAGTTCTCAGTCATTGTGGACTGTTAGCATTCCACTCTGGGTAGAGTTTGAAGCCCATTTCTATTTCCCTTGTCCTACAAGCCTGTATTCTTTGTTTCTGCTTATCTGGTTCTAGATATTACTGGTAATTTCTGTATAAATAGCTACCATGCTTCTTCCAAGCTCCTCCTCTAACTCTGCTCATCAGGAGCTCTGCAGAAATGGTTCTTTTCTGCAGAGCTGTCAGCTTTGTGTTGCATGGGCAGCTTCTTGCATGGTAGACTGTCAATTAAGGTGTACAAAGAGGAGACCATTAGGGAACATAAGGGGAGGAGAGATGTTCTAGGTACTAAGACACACAGAATGGCAGAAGATTGTACATGGAGCTACTGACTCACCTCTGTCTCTAAGCAGTTGTGCAACCTTGTGCTGGATAGGTCCACAAACCCCGTGGAAATAACACAAAGAAGCCACTGCATTAGCAACATCTTGGTTCTCTGTATATAATGTACCAAAACGAATCCCAGAAACAGCAAAATCCTGCAGAAGACACAGAGGGACTACTTTATTATACTGAACAACTGGGATCCTATTACTATTAACTTGATCTTTCCAGCATGAGGAACCTGCCAGCCACAAAGGCACAGCACAATAACAACCAGCACTCACCTTGGTTATGCCCCACATCACGTGAGTCCGCTGTGGATCAGGCAATCTGTATGTAGAAGGATGCAGATGAGCAGTTAGTGTCATAGGTGCTGAAGCTTTTGGATCACCAGTGTAGCATTGCAGAAATAGAGAGGCAGCATTACACAATGACAGACAGTGCACCACTGAACAGCAGTCAAGCAGGGAAAATTCAAACGCAACCGAACTTTAGAAGCTAGGAACCCATTAGAAGTAGCTTTAGACTGATTTTTTAAATATTTCAAAGACACAGGTGCTTACAACTGCTACATTTTACATGCACGTTTCCTGAAGCTTGTACATTTAATACTAGAAATCAAGCTTCTGCCAATGTATTTTGCCAAGAATCAAAAGCGATGTTCTTTTACATCTAAGCCCAGCAAGACTGAGCTAACACTTAACTGAGTATATTTTATTTCCTTGCAATTGAGCACAAAAAGATAGCTAGCACCACTGGTGAAGACTAGAAATTAAAAAAAGAAAAAACCAACAACTCAACAACACACCATATTTTTAAAAATATTTAAAAAGCTTTTCATCTCATTAAAACAATACCTAATAAAAGCCATTATCCAGTCTGTAATACTACTGTGATCTGGGACTACTCTGTGGAAAATTAGGAAGGAAACACCAATAGAAAGTATTTACAAACATCAACAGAAACATGGGAAAAAGATGTTTAGGTAGGAAGAAAATCATCACCTTCAACAAATGAAAAATCTGTTTTCAGTTTTGGGGACTGTTATAACCAAATACTGATGCTCACACTGAGAAGTATACCACAATAAAAAGCTAGCTACCATTTTTTACTTGCTAGATTAAATGCTAACAAAATGCATTTACCATTCAGAAATGATTAAAAATAAAAAAAAGGGCATAAATCAATGCAAGGTGGATTCAGAATTTACTAGCTCATGACTTAACTTCCAGTCACAAGTTCTCAGCAAGGCATCATGTTGAACTGTCACTGGAAGATGGCCAGGGAAGTAGGAGCTGCTTTTACCTGTCCATGCCTAGGACACTGTGAAACGTGGCTGATTCATCAAAAACTGACAGCATGTAGATCTCATCTACTATCACATGCAATTCATGCCTGCAAAAGGACAAAACTGAGATTACAAAAGAAGGCTGCTGCTGGTTTAACAGAGATAAACTCAGGCCTCCAAATACTTGCTTTATACAAAGAAGAGGGGATGTCATATTTTGCAGAAATAAAGCAACTTTTCTGAATTTAGACCTATTTTGTATACATTGAAATGATTTGACATCTATCCACTTAACTGTCACCCACTAACCATGTAACAAGACAAAGATCCTATCATTGCCAATGTGAGAATTAATTCCTATATGTACTACCCATCCACTCAGCATCTCACAGAATCTGAATCTCAAAGAGTATTGTGATCCATGATGAAACTGGGAACCCACATTCATATACTTCTTTGTCTTTACCGATACAGAGAAACTGAGAGGAAAAGAACTCAGCTTCCTACCAGGGAAGCCATAGTATTTCCTCGGATTACTGAAAAATAAAACTTGCATTCCTTGATGCAAGTTGCTTTGCCACCCCAAATTACTGCAGGGTCCATGATCCCAGCACTCCCCTCTCCTTTCTTAAGTCCACCAATGTGTGTGAAGAATAGACTATTTGCCTGACTTAAAATACATTCACAGATCAAGTAGTCCACCAGATTCTGGAAGCTGTATCTGACTCAGGATATCTCAGCCTTCCAAAGTGACATACCTTTTAGCAAATTCCAGGTAATCCCGTAGCTCTGACAAGGAGTAGATGTCCCCAAGGGGATTTTGGGGATTCAGAAGAATTAAGGCCCTTACAGTGACACCCTGCAGAATACAAATACCACAGTATTAAGAGAGTGCCTATCATGGGAGAAATTCTCAATTCCTCTACTTGAGCAGCCCCTCACTTGAGTGTGACACAGGATTCCCCTGAAGCTTCCACCATGACTTTTCACCTCAAAGGTTAGATTTGCATGAGAAGACTTTTAGCCATCAATTAAGATTTTTTTTTTTTTTTTACAATTAAATAATTTCCAAAGTGAAACAAGCAAAATATTATAGAATTAATCTATGAATTTGAAAAGAGGGAATTGCCACCACCAAGTAATTGGTTGCCATCTGGTCAACCAATTAATGAGAAAGATGGTCTCACATGCTCTCAGTATGGAAGTACTTCTTCTGAGCTGCATTAGTAATTGGGAAATAATAAATTACTGAAAACTGCCCGTGAAAGTGGCAAGTAAGACAAGAATTTGAGTTGGGTGGATGCAAAGTGTACTCATTTAGAGTACACTACTTGGCTGGAGATGTCAGAGCTGGTAGCAATTCAAAGAAGCAGCTAAACATATATGGGATTTAGGACAATGCCAAACTTACAGACTAACTCTTCAGAAAAGTGATATTCACTTGCATTTTATCCTCTAGAGTTCCCTCCTGCGAAAATTCTCAGCATTCTTAGTGTATTTATCTGCCCCACTGTGTAGAGCAGTCAGTTTTCAGGTAACTCAGCTGGTCTTTCTGAGGGAGAAATCCTGGGTAGTCCCAGATTTTAGTGCACGCCCAAGTACATTTTTTTGGTGATATGAATGGATTCCAGTGCTTCATGAATTGTCTTGTTTATCCTTTTGTGCTGTGACCAAAACTGGACAGACACAACACTGACGGATTCCCCCTAGTAGTGCCCCGAGCTTGCACGCCGTCATCTCATATGGTCTACAAGGACAACCAGAAAGTGCTAGGTTTTGAAAAAGCTTTGATATTTAGGCCACTTCTGGGATGTGACATCTCCAATATATTGTAAACTTAGCTGGTGATGTGAAGCTCAGCTAAACTCACCTCTGCCCGGGCATCCTGCAAGGCTTTTTCCAGTTTTTCCACTGTAAGCTGAAAAGGCCGAGTACTTGTTCCAGTAATCTGAAAAACATAAAGATTAAAAAGGCAGAGTTGTTTCAATAGAGACTGCCTTGAGCCAATTCACTGAGAAATGTTCCCTGAAAAAAAAATAAACCCCCAACAATAATGACCTAGCAACCATCTTCTTATCCTTTTATACTACAGAGAGAATAAATAAATCAATAAGTAAAATCAAAGTCCATCATAGGCCGGCCAAAACCAGAATTTTCTTGCTATCCTTGAATAATTAAAGCAATACAACATCTCCATCTGCTCTTTCACCCTGGGACCACCTTCAGTAGCATACAACATAACATTTCTCTCCAAGGTTCAAAATGGTAATTTTTTTCCTTTCAAGGACTTTTACTGGGAGTAAGACACAAGAAAAGGACAAAACTGGAATCCATATTCATGGTCTCAAGTGACTTTCTTGTAAACCATGTGCCCATTTTCCCAGAAATAAACTGTGTAAATGTCTACTGACTGGAGTGTACCCTTGTTCTGAGAACTGCTTGCAGAGGCTCCCAAAAGTCAGCTTTCCAGTTTAACTACAGAGGTTGTTATTCCCTTTTCTCAGATCTTACCTTACTGTCTAAATAGACATACACCAGCTTGACATTACCATAGAGGAAGACACTCTGGGTAATACCACCATAAAAGGGAGTAGCAATCAGAATAGCTTCTGGAACCAAGAAAACAAAATTAGTTATCAACAGGTCACAGTCTTCTCTCCTAATGTGCTTTAGCTAAGTATGAAAGCATTTTTACAGATGTGTCCCTTGGAAACACTGCAATTCTACTGCCTCTTTCTTCACTTTATTTTTACATTAATTCTTTAATCTTCTGCAAGTGCCCAGGTAACCATGAGTAGAGCCCATGTCTAGTCTGGCAAACTAACAAAAACAGTGAAATCAGACAGGGCAGGCACCAAGTGTGAGTGCATGACATCTGCAGACCACGGAAATGAAGAATTTCACACCACAACTTTGCAGGAAACAAGAACTTTGCAGTAGGCCAATGCCAATTCCACTACTTCACTTCTGTCTATCAGTATTTAAACAAAGTAACATTATTTCACAGCAGAAAAACAAAACAAAACAACGTTCCAACCATCTACTTACCCCCTGGATCACAAAGGACTGTAGCTAATGCAGAAAATAAAGAGCCACAACCATTTAAAACAATCACCTAGAGAAGAAAGAGAAATGCTAGTCATAAATCCATACATAGAAAGTCAGCACTATAAGGGTATATCACTGAAATAAATTTTCTCCCTTATTCTCCATTAGAATTTTCCTGCTAAAATCCCACTTCTACCAGAATAACTTTAATCCTGTTCTTTCACAGACACTTTATTCTAGTGCCGTTTTTCATTTTAATAAGCAATTTAGAAAAATAATAGGCTTAAAGTGGGGAAAAAGTTGGGGAGCAGTTCTGAGATGCTAGTAAATCAAAATACTTTTCAACAGTTAATATGTGTTCTCTTTTCTTCATGGTAACAGCAATTCTGACCTGTGAAATTTGTGCAAAAGTGGAAACTACTGCCTTGTACAAAAGCAGGTTTGACTCCTGCTTCTACAGGACAAATGCTCACAGATGCCATGAGTTTCATTCCCAGTATCAGAAACAATCTGGTGCCTTGAAGAGGCAGTGATCAGCAAACTGATCAGTGGTAACCTCAGCTCATGTGAAGTGTGGGGTTCTGTTGAATTACTGCAGTCAGAAAAGCAATGGCTGTACCAGCTCCTGCTCCCCTCAGCAGAGACAGGAGCTCCTGACCTCCACAGGCCCCTGCATCCAGGCTGTATGTCTCACAAGTCAGCAAGTCCTGCAGAGACTCAGGTCCTGATGTCTTCTAGCAACACTGCCACAAATTTTACAGGCTAAAACTAACTCTTGGTTCAATTACAAATCTCTGTCTGGAGGTATAACAGATGAGTAAGATGACGTGGAACTCAAACAGTGGGCCCTCTTTGTCATGGCTGAGGGATACAGCCATAGTAGGTCCCCGAGCTAAATAGGGAGATCAAAATGTAAAGCCCCACTGAGAGTACTGGCAGGAGGAGCTGGCACACAGAAGTGAAACATGAGGTAAATATGCAGTAGGCCTGAAATGTTCTGGCAGAAGTGTGCATCAAATGAAGAATCAATCTCATTTACATGATAACAGCTTGCATTCTTACCAAATCTTTTGTTTAAAAAAACAGAATTTGAAACTTTTTCCCAGCAAATGGCAATATATTAGAACAGACACCAATGAACACTGGGTTACCTACATTCTCTGCTTTGAGAGGTGCAGGGGCTTTGCAGTAATAGGTCAAAAATCGAGCCACTTCTTCCCGTAAACTGAAAAATACACGAAAGCAAATAGTGATTCAAATGTTCACATCTTAAGAAAGTCAAGTCAGGAACAGTACAGTCTGGTGAAAATAGCTAGAAAACAGGATAGCTCTGGCCCATGGAACATACATGATTTTTACACCCAGCAAAGGTGCTGTGGATGTCTATAAATGGTGCATGCATTTCTGATGAGATTTAATCTGGCACAGAAAAGAAGGATTAACAACTCCAAGTGTTCACTATGTTTCAAGGAATTGTTTGGAGTTACCCAACTTGTTAATGTATACAAGTGCTTTTAAAACTCTGCTTTAGAAAATTTGCATCTTCTCTCACATAAAAAGATTTTTAACTGGACGAGCTGATAGGACAGCTAATGTAAAGTTTTGCAAAGAAAAGGATGATTTAAGTGACCTAGAAACGTTTTAACTAGAGAATGTAGCAGAAGAGGTTTGTAATCATCCATTCTGTTTATTAAACAAGCAGTCAAAAAGAGTAGTGTTACAGAAAAGACTTACAACAGATGTCCTTTCCAGTCAGGGTACTGAAGCAGTGAAGGGTCCATCAGATTCATATCAGCCTGTGTCAGCTGGGAAAAATGAGAAGAATCATTAAAAGCCCAATTACTGATAAGGGAAACATTGAGATAGACAGGATCTTTGCACAGGCACCTGCACAGACACTTGTGCAACTTCAACAGTTGTAAAAATGGATTGGGAAAGCTACTGACCATCACAATTAATGCAGCTTGGAGAAGCCAGGACCAGCAAATTTATCTGTAATACCTTCAGGTTGTATGAACTATGGGTTTCTGCTAAGTTATTTCAGCCAAAACTTCACTGCACAGAAATCTACAAAAAGGATGTGGAACAGGCAACACACGATGCCCATGACCAAGGTGTCTGCAAAAGACTTTCTCAGCAAATGAAGCAAACCCAAGAGTGTTTTGCCCAAGCTCTGAGGACAACAGCTTTTGGCTGGAAAAATAAGTCTTAGTTGTGAAAGCTCAGGTCCAGACTGTCAGAAAGAGTTAGGAATTTGAATCAGAGTCAGATATGCATTTTCCTTAATTAACTTTCAATCTATACATTTTTAAAATTAATTACAGCTTTCATTTATGTCTCAGTTCAAAGCTATGGCAGCTTCTTCAGATTTATTTTTCTGACCAGTTTAGTAAATGTTGAAGTGTAACAAGAGCTTTCAAAAACATGAGAAAATTGAAATTATCTTCCTAATAATTATTCCCCAGGGCAGGTACTTTGTTCCTTATAGGAAGTTCATTCTGATCTCAAAGACAGATTGACCTGAACTGCAGAGGTACTTTTTAATATTTATAATTAGATAAAGGGTGCACGCTGCTTTTACCTAAATATTTTCAAGGTTGTAAGTATTAGGGTTTCACATAATCCAGTTCTGTGAAGTTGCAAGGGAAAGCACAGCATTGATACAGGCTGAGAGAACATTTTAGATAAACAAAAAGGCAATAAACAAGTGTAATATACAATGCCCCTTCCAAATATTTAATGGCAACCAAATCTTTGAGTTAATACTAAAAAGAGTAAAGGTGGGGGTGACATAAGTAGGTAACAGTGCAAAGGAGGAGGAAATTCCACATGCAGTGTGAAAGTTTCACACATAATAACAAAACCATAACATTTTCTATAGGTGTTTCAATAACTGGTGCCAAGCTCTGGAGTTTGAAGACAATGTCCTTATCCCATGCAGAATTACAACCTGATAGTATAGGATAAAAGTTCCCTCATTCAGCTGCAGAAGTTCTTGGAGTCTATGGAGCTCCAAGAACTGTGCCTCCTTACATCTCGCTCCTAAACTATTCTAGAGAATGAAACACCAAACATACCAGCAGACTTGGCCAAAAATGACTATGAATTAATAAGAGGAGGACCCCTAGAAGTAATGTGTTAAGTGTTCTCTAATTTAAGGGTCAGAAGTTGAAAACAGAAACTGGATACATTATTCAGTGGCAGCAGTAAGTATTTTTAATCCCAAATAGCAAAAAAATATTTGCCTACAATCCCAGCTGATGCTGCATCAGCCACAGTGAATCCATACTGTTACTCAAGACTGTAAGAACTGAGAAGCTGGCAACTACATCTTTGTTCTGCTTGTTGCCACAAGCATGAACACTATACCTGACTCACTTTCAAAGACGGGCTAATTAAGATGCGGCTGACTACTGTCTCCCTCTGCACTAGTTACTGCAGTGATGTTAGTTTAAAGGGGAAAGGACAGTGAAGGAAGGAAGGCATCACCTACACAGCCTAGAAGACACCTTTCCGTGCAGTCAGCATCTCTGCCTTACCTGTTCTTTTAGCTGGAAGGTGGAGTGGTGGGGTAGCATCCCCCGAGCCAGTGGAGTAGCAGGCAGAAATAAACCAGGGAACATTTTGAGGGTGGGAAGTGGTGAACAGGAGCAACCATAAACTTCAAATTACAGAGACTGACTGTCCAACCCTGAGTTACTTTCCCTCCCTGCACACAACCACAGGTAGGAAAAAGTGCTACCTGCCCACCTCAAAGGCTGCCTGCCACCCGGACAGTGATTTTAATGGAAATCTAGAAGCATTCCTCTACAGCATAGTTCTCTTGTTTCCTTTTGACTTTTTCTACTTTTTCAGCTCTGATATGTGTTCCACTCCTCTGCCTGGTACAAAGCCAGCAGGTAGCAGCTGATCCACTCTGATTCTGAGAGATTTCACTGCTGCCACACTTGCACATTTCAGGTGAGTTCAGAATGAGGTGTTCAAGTTGTATGACTTTATAATGGACAGGTGTAAAAATACTCAAAATAAAACAGAGTTCAAAACTAATTTCAAAACATCTGTATTATATCATCTACTGTAAGCAGGGGAAAATAAAATTAATCTTATTTTCATCTAGTTTTCTGAAATAAGTACATCCTCAGAGGAAAACCCATCATGAAGAGGAAGAGAAAAACACCTATGTTCCTATCCTCCTGGAAAAGTAAAATAAATAAATGTACAAGTAGATGTATTCAAAAGTGACTTCCAACAAATTTAAAACCCACAATGAAAAACTTCACCAGAGAAACCTGAGTAAGAGCAGTAACTCTAGGAAAGTGCAAGCTTTGAAGAGGGACTGCACAGTAAATTCAGTGTTTTATTGTGGAATAGAACTTACCCGCTTGGACATCAGGTCAAAGCAGAGCTTGTTCTCACTGGTGCCAAAGTTTATTATACCCTAGAAAAAGAAACAGTATTGTTTATAGACACATAAAACATGTGAGTACATCACCTTAGCTATCGCTTCACTAAATTCCCTCCAAAAAGCTTACCAAGGAAAAATCAAAACACAGTTCACATAAACTTCACCATATATAACTCAAGACATGCATCTATGTGTGTACATTTCCATATATATCCCAAGCACTTGGCTTCTTAGTCAATAATAATAAACTGTAAATGAACATGTACTGATAGTTTATATTTCTTTACAGAACATGTTTAACTTAATCTTGAATTTACTCACTATGATATGTAACTAAAAAAAGAAACCCTAAAACAACTCTGAAAAAAACAAGGTTTACCCTTCAACAGCAGTTTTAAATAAGGTTTTGGATATGTTATCTTAAAAGCATTTGTTTACAATTAATTACTAATTCCACTGTACTTATTTGCTCAAAAACCATATAAACATGTGGTCATGATAAGTAGTTAAAATACTGAATTTTCCCATCTGGAGAGATGACCCTACATTTCCAGGTTTATGATTTGGCCATATATAGTATGGCATTAGATCCTGAAGAGTTCAAATCTACTAGTATAGTCTCATTATTGGAAGAGTTTGGGTAAATACAATTTTTAAATGTGAAAGAAAATTGAAACAACTATACACTTCTGATGTTATTAAAGTACAAGCCTAATTTTAGGTATTTGTTTAAAAAACCTACCTCCTACACAGTCAACAGTTTGTAGAAGCAGAAGCCTGTACCTCATAATACACCTTGTAGCAAAAACTTCCCCTGTGTGTTTCTAGTTTGACAATCTAGTTTTCAGCCCGCAACACAAGGCAACTAAAGTCAGGGCTAATAATAAAATATTTTTAAAGTTTCAAGTAGTTAGTTCAGTATGTGAATGAAGGATTTAATTAAAAGTAATCCACATATAAATTATTTATATTTACTATACTTGTTACTCAGTAATAATTTGCCATGAACTATAAACACAGCCCTTGTGCCACAAGAGGGCTATGACGAGCTACTTAAAACTGAGCAGCTGAGTGTAAACAGGCAGAAAAAGTGCTGAGTGTTATTAACTGTAATTAAAAAAAAGGGCTACTACTTAGTAGCTCTACTTCCTGGACCTATCACCTGCAATAATCAGATATAATCAGATAATCAGAGATGGTCCTCAGTGCGAAAGAGAGGTCATGAGGTGGAAGGAGGAAAATGAGCTTTGTCCCTCCAGATTTCTTACATCTTTCAAGGTCTGCTACTGCTATTACTACCCTGATTAAAAAATCAGAGTGTGCAAACCTGAGCTGAACATAGCATTCATCTTTGGTATCTAGGCGATCCACTAAGCTAATTTAATTTCTTTTCTATTCTTTCTTTCATTTAATTTCTTTTCCTCAAACAAGCAGTTTGAATCACCTTGTATTAGTGAGATAAAAAAAAAAAAAAACCCACTTTTAGGACATCTGCCAGCAAACCTCTAAGAAACTATTTTTCCTAACAAGGAAGCCAGGAAAACACTTTGAGGTTATTACTCACATTGGGGTTCTTGTCTTCATCATACTTGTCAGCATGATAAGCTTTGTACCCTTCCTCAGTGGAGCCCTGAAAAACGTTGGCAAAGTTGCCACGAGCAGAGAGGTAGGGGCTTCTCTGGAAGCCACTGGGGTTACAGAAACTGTGCATGTCAACCCTCCTCTTGGCAAGCGGCCGAACCCTCATCTCTTGCACGTTGCTCCCTCTTCCTCCCATTCCCTCAATTTCGGACAGCGCCTGGCTGAAGTCCAAACCCTGAGGCATGGCAACAGGGGAGGAGGAGCCACTATGGCTCTGCTTTAGGATGCTGAGCATTTGAGCAAAGACATTGAACATGCGAAACTCGTGTTCCCGCTCCAGTTCAAACCGGCGCTGCTCCAGTTGCATCCGACGCTCCTCCGCGTCCAAATCTCGCTGAAATCGGCGTTCCTCCATCTGCAAAAAGCGCTCCTCCATGGCCCGCTGAGATGTCAGAGTCTTCAGCAGGAGATCATCCAGTGGGTCCCTCATGCGCTGGCCTTTCCGCCTTTTTCTCAGCCGATGCAAGGCTGAGAAGCCAGGCCGGGGAACAACGTTCTGGATCCGTGACGAGTTTGCCATGTTTGGCTCACTGAAACCTGTGAATACACAAAAGCAAAGAAGAAAAAGTGCAGCAAGCAAAGTGGCTTGGGCATGCCTTGCTTCCTTCGCCTGCCTGTCATAAGAACACCCTTTTATCTACCATAGAGCTTATAGAAAAAACAAAGTAAAAGCTGTCAGGTACATCCTGAGGTTCTCAAACATTTTTTAAAGTTTGTTTTTGACATCACACATTGGGCATACCATGATGCTGCCAACCCCAGCCCCTTATATGGTCTCTGTATTAACCTGAATGATCATCAGTTCCCTCCACTAGGCTCACTATGCAAGCACCACAGCCAAGAGGAGATACCATTTCTTCCTGACCTCAGACATTAACCTCTCATTTGTTATCATCTCTTCTTCTTCAACAATTCATGGTCTTCTATCAGCCTGTGCTAGACTGGTTTGGAATCCCCAGGATTCCCAGACTGTACTCTTCCTGGTAGCTAAGCAATGCCAACTGCATTTTCAGTGCAGGAATCTCACTCATCTGTAAACAAATGCACTGTTTCTGCCAGTGACTTTCAAAAACATCTTCTTTGCAAGTCCCATTGAATAGAAAGTCCCAGCTTAGAAAGTCAGGCAATGATTATTCCCAAGTATTCTTCACTGTTGAGTGGGCTAAAATATTAGATCTGGAACATATTTTAAAACAATGCCAGTACAGTTTATCTGCAGGTTTACAGTACAACCATGGCAGAAGAGGGTGTCATGATACAATTCAGCATGAGGACAGCAGACAGCTCTGGCTATGTTCAAGTGATACCAAACAAGCATGCAAATGGGTTTTTTTACTGTCAGCATTATATGCAGAAAACTAACTAGCCCAGCTTATGGAGCTCTTTGGGTTTCATACACAGTATTTTGCCTAGCTCAGCACTTCTAGATTATATTTACCTGCAGTGAGATACCTGCATTTTGGGAATGGTCAAAACACCATAAATTCAGATTATCAGCCTTCTACTTTAAAGCTTTCTGGGATGTGGAAAAACAAGGATCCAAACGTCATTGAGAAAACCAGGTGTCTATCTCTGCACCAGAAATAATCTTCACTTTCTGGGAAAATGGGCAGAAACCTTATGCTGGAATGTAAAAGGCTATCCCTACCTGAAGGTGAAACACTGGTTTCAATGGGAATCTCCACCCTGGAGATGGGAGAGTCGTTTTGGGCCCTCTCCAAGAAGGCTCTCTCCATCTCCTGTTCTTCAGGGGAGCCCTGCTGGTAAGACATGGCTTGTGGGGGCTCTGGGGTCAAGCTGTGGTCATCAGAATTCACCTCCTCACATTTGATTTCCATCAGCTCAGGGTGCTGGGAGTGTCCAAAGGGCAGGGCGGAGGAGGTGAACTGGTGGTGGTAGCTCTCCACCATGCCGCCCTGCAGCACCTGCTGAGCCATCATGCTGCCACTCAGGGAGCCATAGGCCAGGGCCGGCCGGCTGGTCAGCACCCGGTCCATCACCTCGTAGAACTTCCACGTCCGCCCGCCCCGCGGGGCCTTGCTATTGTCCTTGATCCGCCGGTACTCCAGCTTCATCTTCTTGATCTTCTCCCGGCACTGGTCTCCCGTCCGGTGGATGCCCTTCTCCCGCAGCACCTCGGCGATGCGGTTGAAGACGTGCTGGTTGCGCAAGCAGCTCTCCAGCTCTATCTGCACCGACTCGTCGGCCCAGAGCTGCAGCAGCTCCACCACCTCGGGGTCCGACCAGTTGCTGCCGCGCTCGTACTTCTTCCCACGAAAATCCATCGCTCCCGGGGCCCCGCCCGCCGCTCGCCCCGGGCTGCGCACCTGCCCCTGCCCCGCCGGGAGGGGCTTTCGCACCTCGGCCCTCGAGGGCGCCCGGGCGGCCCGGCCTCCCCCAGCCCCTACCGGGCTGCGGGGCCTCAGGCACGGCTCGGCACGGCACGGCTCGGCACGGCACGGCTCAGCCCATCCGTTGGAGCCAGGCGGAGCGAGCTAGCGGGGAGCCGGGCCGGCATGTTCACATCCGGGGTGACGCACATGCGTGCAGCCTTATTCCGGGATAACTTTATCCCGTGCCAGGCGCTAGTCGCGCTCCCGGGGCCGGGCCGGGCTCCGAGCGGCGCCGTGGGGTCCCTCCCACCTTGCCTCTTTTCCTCCCTCCCTGCCTCCTGCCGTCTGTCCCTTGAACGCCCCGGCTCGGGAGGAGGCAGCACCGACCGTGCCGTGCGCATCACCCCGTGCCGGGCCGTGCCAAGCCGCGGCCGCGCCGTGCCCGCGCCCCCCCTCACGGCGCTCGGCACCGCGGCCCCGCCCCGCCCCGCCCGGCGCTGCCAGGCACGGCCCGGCACGGCTTCGCTTGCATCGCCCCCGGCTCCGGCCCCGGCCAGGCGGAGACCTCGGGAGCGGTGCCGCCGAATGCCGCCGGTGGAGCGGCCGGCCCCGCTCCCACCGCAGCCCCGGGCCCGGGGCACTGGCGGCGCTTTTGCCGGAGGCGGCCTGGCCTGGCGAGAGCTGCGGCGGCAGCCCTTGACAGCGGCTGGCCCCGCTGCCCCTGGGGGACAGCAGCGCTCGGGGACGCGACACTGCCCGCCGCTCCTGGACACCAGCGCAGGACCTGTGCCTCCAGCCTGGCCGTCCCGAGCGACCGGGCATTACACCAGTCCGTTCCTTCGTTCACCCGCCACCGTCAGCGAGCTGCGAGGTTCAAATCCTTCCGAGTACACACTCTGCCACATCTCTAACTGGGCTGAAGGACTGTAGAGAGTGAATGCAAGATTTCTTCCTTTTCCTCCACACCACACCAGCTCGAATTCCCTGCAGGGATCTGTAATTGCGGAATTCGATTTCACAGAGCTATCCTGCCGCATCAGCCATGAAGGTGGCCCCAAGCCACGCTGCAGGACGGAGCTAGCAGCACCGTGCCACATCGGTGCGGACATCTCAGTCCAGACCCCAGTCTGACAGGATAAGGACTGAGCCCTAAGGCACCAAGTGCACACGTAAACCAGTAATGAATGAGGAAAACAGAATGACACATAGTGTGTTAGTTTCCTGTATCACCTGTGGCCAACATACAGGTGGTGAAGCACATACAAAGTTTGTAATTTTCCTCTTAGACTAAAAGATCCACTCCATTGCAGCACTAGTTGTTTTTTTTTTTTTCCAACTGTTATTACCTTCATTCAGGATTTAATAAATCACTTGCAGCGTCTATGATTCCATTTCTCAGTCTGTGAAATGGAAAGAGAAAAGTTGATCTTTACTAAATTTCATTAAATACTTTGAATACTGCCTTGGGAGTGGGGGCAATAAAAAGAAAAGAGGCAAAAAGACTTAGCAAAAAAACCCAAACCAAACAAAAAAACAAACAAAGAAACCCAAAAACCAAAACCAAACCAAAACAACTCCCCAAAAAACCTCCCACTTAGCTTTAAAAATTGCACTACCTTTCTTAATAAATTATGACCAGAGAGAGTAGTTTGGATTTTTTAGTGGTCTGCTGAACTAGAGTTTGTATTTCCACACATCCATAAGATGTGCTTTTTCATGGGAATGGCACTCTATGTTCTACAAGTACATACTTAATTACATAAGGACTTTTACATAGATTGTATACTGGAGTGCACAAAGACGAGGGCAACCATGAAAAGAGTCATTGATGACAGAAGTTTAGTAATAAATATAAATAGATTAAAGGCAGCATGAAATAGTCTCTTAAAAAAAGCTTTTCAAAGAAGCCTGAGAGCTTGGCTAGAGCCTGTTATGTACATGAGGGCCATAACTTAGCCACGCAGCAGCAGAGTATTCTCAAAAGTAACTTGTCATATACCCTGGCATCAGGAAAAGCCACAGTTTCAAAATGCAAGCATTAAAAGGAATGGAACCTAGATTCCACGATATAGAAAAAATATAATAAATCTTAAACTATTTTTCATGGTTCAGTTGTTTTCACTGATAAAATAATAAATTATTTTGTAAGTACACAGGATTTAAATAATATTAATGCTGCCTTAAAACCATTCATGCTGCAAAGAGGATGGCTCATACCAAGCATCATTTGCGTTAGCATCTCCACTGCCACGCTGCTTCCCTCTCCCAAAGAATGCCCTTCGCATCCCCTCCGGGCTGAGAGGCCGTGTGGCCGCTCCCATTGCTGACACTCCCTGAGCCAGGGCTGGGCACAGCAGCAGCTCTCTGACCTTTCGGCCCCATCCACCTTGGCAGCACGGACAGGCCGCGGGGGGATGGGGCTGTCCCTTCCAGGCAGGCGTGGAGACGGGAGGAAGGTCCCTGCAGAGGGTGCTCCAGCCCCAGCTACCTTCCTCTGCCTGACACAGGCTGGGAATGTGTTAGCAAGGGATTTAACAGGAGGGCCAGTTGCCCAGCAGTCCCGTTTTCCAGAAGTTCAGTACATGGCTTTCCATGGTTGGGTGTAAAGGGAAGTTTCTGCTGCAGTCAAGTAAAACTCAAGAGTATATGGCATGGGAAAGGCGCTGGGTTGGCTCTTACAATACTCTAGATCAGAGGAAGGTTACCTCCCCAGGTTGTGTAGTGGCTGCTGGCAGCACTTAAGTAGAGCCCAGAAACACTGTGACCAAAACCACAACTACCCGATCCCCATTTACATACCGCCTTGGAACCAGACAAGTTGAGCAGACTGAGGTCTATTTCCTAAGAGGAGATTCTAATAAAAATTCATTACCGTAATTGCAGTTTACAAATTAAAGTCCAAATCGTCCACTGCGACAAAAAACTTCATGCATCTCCCTAGTTTGGTAGATAGTTTAAATAAATAAATATAATATTTTGCCATGTTATCAAACAAATGGAACCAATTTAAAACTCTCTTAATCCTGCTAGTTCCTCTGAATCTGAGCCACTGCTCTGGCCACTGGTGGTGCAGAAGAGCACCCTCAGGCACTATCTGTTCTGCATCTGATTCCCCAGATTGCCAAGAGGCACTAAACAGCTGATGCCAAAGCAGCCTTTATTTTTACATTCTTTAAAAACTGACCATTGTAAAGAAATGGAAAACACCCTTTCTGCTTCACAGACTTACTAGTTGTAAAGTTTATTAGTAATATTTACTATCCACTCAATTTCCTGCAAAATCCCTCAGGCTAGCCCCTGAAAACTACAAAATGCTGACTGATACAAAGCACCTCAACCAAAACTAAGGCAGGATCTCATACCAGGATCTTCCTTCCAAACTGATTACTAATTCTTCTATTCCTGTGTGTTTATTTGGAGACAAGTTTATTATATCTCACTGGCTTTCAGAACCAGCAAGGCCAAACAGCCATTACAGATGCCTTCTCTTTGGCTTCTTATTGCATTGGCAGACACATGAAGGGGCGGGGAGTGTACAATTGACTTTGCTAAATTAAGGCATCACTTTAATAAGCAGCTGCAGCACATGGGCATGAGAGAAGAGAAGCAAAAGTTTCTGAGGGAGTCATATCCCAATACATGCCCACAGGGTTATTTAAGGTACTTCACAGTAAAGCCCACAGAGGGCAGTAGGACAGTCTTCAAAAATACTTTGAAAAGTGGAGCTGGACAAAGAAAACTGCAGAAGACTAGAAGAGTTTCACTGTTTAGCTCATAAACTCTATGGGACTGATTCTTCTTTTTTTTTCCCAAGTGTGAGTTTTTTACACGATTAAACAGTGCATTGCATTTCCATTGAAATTCTGAGCAGACCCGCGGGACCTGCCCCACTGCAGGCAGAGAGAGCTATTGGAAGTGCTGAGTGTTTTCCACCCTCAAAGTCAGTGTAACAGCTACACAAACAAGGAGTTGTGGTTTACACACTTTCTGTGGAAATTACTTAGATAAAGAGCCAAGTCTGCTTAATCATCCCATGCAAATATTTAATAGTATTCCCTGGAGCAGGAAATGGTGGTTGTGCTGGGGGTGTTTCAAGTACTGGCTACCCCTGTGACTAAAACCAAACAGAGATACGGGGAATCTAAGTGTCTAAATTAATTTGTTAGAGGGATTAAAGAGAATAAATGGATCCAGATTGCTATAAACCATTCTCTTCTTCAAGATATCTAAACTTATGTAGATTTAAATGACATAATACGATTTCTGTAAGTTGTGACTGAATAGGTGCTTATGTTACAGATGAAATGGTGGCAAATTTCAGGGCAGGAGCAGATTGCACTTCTGTGAAACTAATAAGCACACCACTAGGGAGTGACAGGGCCTTTTCTTCTTCAGGGTGAAGTAACACTGACTGATGCCACAGGCAAGAAATCAAACCAAATATATCAGTCAGGGCACATAAATTTAACTTTTCATATGACACTGACATTTGTCATCCTATAAGCAGAGAAAGCTCTTGCAGTGCTTCATGTTCACCACTAAGGCTTGCCAGGCACTCAAGGCAAGCAAAGACATCTCAGCACTTGCAGATTCACGTGTACATTTAAGTCCCTTGCAGGGCTCATTGAAATCGTCCTTTTCTAAACAACAGAAATTTTGCATTGCCCTAGAGAAAAAAAACCCTGAGAGGCTTCACTATGAAGGACATGGTATGGCGTCTGACAAAGTGACCTCTGTTTGCAGTTTCTTCATAGTCACTGATAGGGAAAGAGGACTGCACGGAAAAACCATGTTCAAAGGAGGAGACATAAAGAAGAGCTCTAGCTAGAAAATGGGCACTAGAAATTGCTTCCCTCTTAACATGTTGTTTATATTAGTCAGGCATGCATTTTTGTCTGGTTTCTTTATTTTTTGGCCATTGCTGCTTCTTAGGCTGACTCTGTTCTGGGAGTTCTTTGCAAATGTTTTCTCCCTCTCTGCTGCCAGAAGACAACGTGGGTCATTTCAGAACCCACAGATACTGAGCCAAAAACCCTTCAGTCCTTTTTGTGGCCTCCAAACTCAGATTCACTTATCACTAAGGTAAATACAAGAGATAAAATTCCTTAAGTAACAAAACAAAATCAGGTGTCAACCCATTTCTCTCCCCTGTGCCCTTCAGTTGCCATGATTTTTTTTTTCTCTCTAGTTTTACGTAAGGCATATTCAGGATCTGCCGTATTTGCCTTAAAAGAGAAAAGCCAGACTCGAGGAAGAACAGGCTAACTGCCTTTATCTGATGCTAAAGATAGACAGAGACCTCCATGTTTGGTCTTCTACAATAAACAGTTGGAATTCAATTTCTATATAAAACCATGGGTGAGAATTCTTCTGTATTTTAATTTATAATAGTAAGGATCTTATACTGCTTTTGCC